ACTTGAGAGGACAGAACTTACTTATCCTGTTGTGGAGAATTTAATTTCGTATGAAAGTGCATGAAAGAGAGGTTCGAAGGTCGATCTGGCCAGAAGACTACAGCTGATTGACGTTGTTCTGCAGCCCCCTTACTTTAATACGATGATCTTTGACGAAATAGTCTCCGTCAGAAAATTTATTTCTCAGTAAACGGATATTTTTATCATTTAGACTCAAAAGATAATTATTTTCAAGGGATAAATTTTTCAGGCTTTCCAACTCTGATCAAATCGTTACTATCAGCTAGCCTTATACTCCTAACGATAAATGACTTCAAAATACCAACCTTAGTTTTGTAACAATTTTTGGAAAGAAAATTTATAAAAGTGCCAACATATGATTGCTTCCTATAATCATATCTTCTTAACTTACCCTCTTATTCTAATAGTTAATGACCTATTCCCTTCTATTTCTTTCGCAAACCTAATACTCCTTTTACGTTGGTTAAGTGAAAACAAGAAATGATCTAAGCTTTCCTTACCATGCTGCCAGATGATAAAATAATTATCCATATATCTAACCAACAATCTGAAGGTTAGTATTGTCTCTTCAAATAAGTGTTCCTCAACTTTGACCATGCAATATTTTGCCAAGAGGGCAGCTAAGCAAGATTCCATTTCAAGTCCTTGTGTCTGTTCATAAACCATTGTAATGGATAGGTCAGGTTTTGTAGAAAAGTTGCTAATTACTTTAAGTGACTCTGATACTTATGTGCCTTTAATGTGAAATCCAATTAAGAGACTTAAAATCAGGCCGAAAGATGCCCTTAAGGCATTAGAATCAGCTGTTGTCTTCTGGTGAGTTCAACCTTGGAATCTCTTCTTCATGAGAAAAAAAAGACTCCAGAGAAAAATTAGTTATTATTAGAGGGACCTTCATTTTGAATGAAAATATATGAAGAAGATATTCGTTTGTCGATCTCACCAGATGAGGACGGATGAAAATCGTTGTACTGCAGCCGTTT